TTCCACTGCATTTGCGAAAATTGGATAGCAGATTTTCATTTGTCTCCTTTAGATTCACTGTGGAAATTAGATATCCTATTTTGAGGTTGCACCACGTTTTCATTCCATTGCTTACGAAAACATTGACAATTCAAAGTGTACAAACTCTGCTGTATACCTTCATAGTTTTTATTTATGGCTAGTCCACGAACTTCTCTATAACCCAATATTGGAGACAATGAAATTATACATTGTTCATTCACTTTTAAGTTATGTTTCTACAGTGTATAATTTTTTGTCCACAATGATTGATTGCTTAATTTACTAGTGGTACAGTTGAAGTAAATGTTACTGATTAAAAAACAGCTAGAAAAAATGTCAAATGGAGATTTTCCTTCAGAAATAATCAGTCTAAAGATTTCAACAATTGAAAAATATGTACAAGAAAGTAAAATTCATTTTATTAATTCAATAGTCAGATTTTTAAAATAAAATAAAATATTCTGATGACTAATTTATCCTATTCTAGCATCATATTTTTTGGCAAAATAACGCGAAAGTTACGCGTTTATTTGCGAAAGTTTTGCGTTATATCGCGAAAGTTACGCGTTATATCGCGAAAGTTTCGCGTTATAACGCTAAAGTTACGCGTTTATTCGCGAAAGGTACGCGTTACAACGCGAAAAAAATTATTTTTCTTACCTACGAAAATGAGCTCATTGGGCTTTCATATGATATGAATAAATGGAATGTTGTATTTAAAAAAAAAATCAGAGACATTCTTTTCCAAGGATGAAAAATTTTATGTAAATCAGATAGCTATTAATTTCATATGCTGAAGCTAAGTTGTTTCAACTCGTAAGGGGGGATTAATTGTTGTTTATTGACCCCCTCGAGAATCCTTCACTCATGGAAACACAACTTGCTCATTTGCAGATCTAAAAGGGATAGGGGTAGTTTGGTCCGCCCCCCCCCCCCCCCGGAATTTGCAGAGTTAGCAAATTAATATACTAAACCAAATAAAAGAGACTTTGAACACCTCCACATCCACACCCCCCCCCCCCCCGGGCACCCCCACCTTTGGAAAACGTGGAACCCTCCTCGAAAACAGATAAACCTCTATGTGAAATGACTATGAAAAGTCAATCATTGAATGTGGTATAAGTCATTGTTGATTGAATGTTGTTTAAAATTCGAGAATTTTCACTTATATGGAGACGCCACCACTTGTTGGAGAGCTACAAATTTTGTCTTACACTCGGCTCTCAAGGTCATTGAGCTTGGAGGGATCCTTTTCGTGCCAGCACCTACTGCCACGCGGGAACTCGTTTTATACAAATTACCGGTTTCCACGTCCCACAGTGGGATTCGAACCCGCAATGTAAGGATCTCTTTACTTCATTACTCTAGAGCAGACACTATATAACCACTGTGCCACGCGGGCGACCAATGGCACGAGGTTTTATAAGTACCCCCCCCCCCCCCCACACACACACACACACAAGAAATGGGTTTTTCATGTTTGGGAAATGCGTTTAGTTGTTGTTTAATTTGTTTGTCAGAATATTTCTGGCTTGACAATTTTTCCTTATTGGGGTGGACCCCCCCCCGGAAGAAATTTCTGGATCAGCACCTGCTTATTTATACCTGTACTCAATACTCGGAGCCATTGAACAGTGAGGGATCTTTTTCGTGAAAAAACAACAGGGGACACCGATTCATATGATCTCATCCGAACAGTCTCAACGTCCCGCAGTTAATTTAATCCCACGACGTACATCTAATGATAAGGTCTGAATAGGAAGGGGTTTGTCTTGATCACATGAAAAAATGTTATATTTAAATGTTTACTAAAAAAAATAATGAAAAAAAAATCACTATATATTTAAAGCAATTTGATTTCGAGGGGTCCATTTTATAACATTATTTTCGGCCGCAGGAGCGGCCGATCTATTTGTGGTTGTATTAGAGACGTTATTTTTTTAGTAGTTCAGTAAAATATTTTTTAAATGATAACATGTATAAAATCAGAAATAAAATATTTTAAAAACATCACCTATTCCCAGTCTTACGTGCTTGATTTTAATATATATTTTTTTCGGATTATCAAAAGGAAAAAGGTTTAGTAATGTCCACACAACAATACGTGTATTATGTAAATCAAAAAAATAACAGGGACGATAGAATTAAGGCTGAGCATCCCCTTGCAATCATATTGATCAAGCTTAAGGCAGCATTGGACATCGATCCCGATGCAAATTACGTCACCTCCGTTTTGCACAGAATTAACACAGAATTAGTCCTCATACAAACACACACAATTGCCTTCCAATATCCCCTAAAACTCTCTTGTAAAGAAGTAATTAGACCTGTGCATCTTTTAATATCCATATTAAGATATTAACAAGACTAGTACTTAAAAATCCTAAATGACGTTCAAAAGTCATATTTCATGGACGATATTGGGTGCAAAACACAGTTTTATGTATGACGTTATCAGGACGTTACTTGGTGAGGGACAACCAAAACTGGCCCCTGTAAAGAAATAAAATGGAGGCTTGTTACATATACTTCTGCATATCAATGGAAAGATAAAATTGTGAATTTAATAGATATCCAGCTATAATACATTCATCAATTACTACTAGGGAGTATTTGACACCTGAAATATGGGGGATATTGGGTTGTTTATGTATCCATTTTCAGCATTTTTACACCCCCCCCCCCCCCTGCTCAACAAAAACAGAAAAAATCTGACAAAATAAGTTATGCGCATTTCACAGAACAAGTCCTAAGGTTTTCTTTTAGTGTGCTTTTAGGGTACATTTTCCACCTCTTGAAAGAGCTACATTACCTGTTAATTGACTCATGCAATTCTGCACATGTGAAAACAAGATGTTTGGGGAGTTATCTCCCCCTATTAAAAAGTCTCACAATTTTTTTTTCTAAAAATGAATGCACATTTTTTTCTTTAAATATTAAGATAAGACTCTACTTTATGTGAATAAAAACAAAAAAGATGCAGTTTTCATCTAGACTCCTATAAATAGCAGGAAAATCCCTACCCAGCATGCTTCTCTTTGGGACCCCCCCCCCCCTGGATTTTATACTAAAATGCGTTTAGCTACCATTAGAAAAATTGTTTTATTAAGAGGAATTATATACTGAACAGAAGTATTCATATCAATTTACTGATGACCTCTATATTGCAACAAATTGAAAACATATCAACGTTTTGAAAGTGACCAAAATTGTCAAGTTTTTGAGATATTTCCTTTATGTTATTAATGTAGTCAGAGACATATTTATGAAGAGAGTTGGTTGCTATGACAACCATCAGATTATCATCATCATACCCTGACAAAAAAGATTTAGTAAACTATCAAAAAAGTTTTGTTGTTCTTATCAATATTAGTGAGTATGGTTAACTCAGTGTTCTCTGAGGAGGGTACCGAGTAACTGTGTGTGTATAACGTAATGACGCTACTTTTTAACGTTAACGTTAACTATTAACGGCGGTCAATCAATGCCTTAATTTTCTCCTTAAATTAAGTTTTTCGGACAAATTGGTGTTATTTTTAAAAAATAGACATCCACAACATATAATCAAAAAAATAAAATTTATTTTTGAGCTGGGGACGATTTTCGCCAATGGAGCCCCTACCTCTTTAAGAATTAATTTTAACATCAATGTCCATTTATTTCGCTTTGCATTAACAATTTTAAAACTCTTTTTTTAACAAATAAAATGACAAACCATTTTATTTTCATTCAAGACAACGTCGCTTTAAATAAATCAACATGGCAATCATGGCAATACCACTCTGGCAATACTTTGTTGCACTCCAGAAATGCAGTGAATGAGCAGAAATCAAACCGAAACACATGGGAAGGTTAGTCTGTTAAGATAGCTGCAACAATTATTCTACCTGCTTGGTAAATATGGCATTAATATTATTGGGAAACATTATTGGAAACAGATTTATAGGTTATTTATAGGATTTTTTAACGGAAGGATATAAGAAAAATTGAAAAAAAAATCCATATGTCACAAAAAATATATAAAAGAAGCACTCAACTGCTTTAAATTAAAATAATCTAATACTCTCAAGACATGCAAGGTTACTTCACCTCGTGTCATTTTTACCCTCCTGCAATTGTAAACAATTAGGACTCGTTTTGAATTCCCAAATGCAGTTTTTTTTTTTTTTAAATATGCTGCATTCGTTTATGCAGTTCATCACATTTTAAATTCAACTATGAAGTGGATGAAAGAGTGGATCATATAAAGGGACGAAAATTTAATAGTAGTCAGTAATTGCCTCGTTGTTGCAAACGAACATATTCAATTCATAAATTGATTCCTTTAATCTCAAAAAATGGAGAGGGGGGGTACTTGAAAAGATTTCAGACAAAAGAACAAAGAAAATCCTTATTATATATTTTTTTCTATCATGTATATATACATGTAGTGTCATCAATTTGTTGGTTGCATGGATTCTAAGGATCTAAATGTTTTTCTTTTTATATATTGTGTTTTCAATTTGCAGCTTGCATACATGGATTTTATGGAGCAAATTGCTCCCATCGCTGCCTTGATAAATGTCGTTATTGTCACAAGGAGACTGGGGTATGCTTATTGTGTAAACCAGGGTATCAGGGTGATCGATGTGAAAATGGTAAACAAAAAATTCTCAATCATTTTTAATTTGATTGTCTTTAAAAAAATAATTGCATATCTCTGTAATTCTTTTTTGTTTGTTCTTTTGGTGGGTTTTTTATGTGGAATAAAATCAATCTATCAACTGTTTAAGTTTACTCTTTACACTTAATAATATCATTTTTTTAAATAATTGACTCCGTGTGTTAAGAATCATATTTACAATAGTAAAATTGAGATATAAATGAAGATTAAGTAAAATAAAACTATCGCAAAAAATATATTTATCTGCATATTTTGACAAAAATGCATCTAATGAATAAAATTAAGGAAATGTATATACATTGGGATTTATAGATTGCTATGGTGGTACATATGGTCAAGACTGTGGACTTAGTTGTGGAGCTTGTCTCGGATATAAGCAATGTCACCACATCAATGGTTCTTGTCCTGAGGGTTGTGATGCTGGATATGAGGGATATTTTTGTAATATAGGTAAATTAATTAATATACTATTTACTCATATGAAAGAGCACGGTTGCAACTACTGTTGGAATAAAGATCACTATTGAAATAATTTATTCTATAGTGTTTGGGAGTGCATTTCAATAACAAACATAGTGTGTAATTAACCACTATTGAAATAACGATCACTATTGAAATAATTATTTAAATAGTGGTTGAGAGTGCTTTTTCATAACAAACATAGTATGTAACCACTATTGAAATAACGACCACTATTGCAATAATTATTTCAATTGTGATTGAGAGTGCATTTCAATAACAAAAATAATATGTTACCACAATTGTGATACGACCACTATTGAAATGATTAATTTACTAGTGGTTGAGGGTGCATTTTACCATGAAGTGATACATGTAACATAGGTTGCAATCACTGTTGAAATAACGTTTACTTTTGAAATAAATATTTCAATAGTGATTAATATATCAATTTCTAAAGTGATTGAAATATTGATTTCAATAGTGCTTTAATCAATAATTCCATAGATACGACAATAGTTTACACGTGTTGACAATGATTTCAATACCAAAACCACTTTGCAAGCTCTTTAAAGCTATCCCAAATTTTAAAACAAATATAAGGATGAATTACACATTCTGTTTTCTAACACTATGAAAAAAATTTCATTTACATATAACTGAAATGATTGCTTTGTTTTCCTTTTCTGTAGAAATTTCAATTAATAAACGGATTTTTTTTATTATACTGACCTACCTACAATTCAAACAAGTAACTATGGAAATGTTATATTCAAGCTCCCGCTGAATCTAAGTCGGTGAAAACCAAAAGGCAATCAATTTAAATATGCAATTTTGAAATAATCTGTGATATTAAGTTCACTGTTCTCTTTGATTTTGAAAGGAAAGGCTCATAGATACATGTAGATGTAGAAATATGAATATCTAGACTACATTGAAATGAAGGAATAAGGCTGATACTTTTGTGTATAAACTTTCTGATGAAAAAATGGATAGTTTTAATAAAAAGAATTTAGAATATAAATGATTTGTATATCACATGGGATTACCTAAACTACAAATACGCATTGTAAATCCAATGTCTACTCGTCAAGAAATTAAAAAGAAAAATTTCTAGCGAAGTTAGTATTAGGTTTATTAATAAAATAGAAGGTGTTACTTCAAAAGTGATTAAGATGTGGTGGTACGGTGTTTTGAAACTTCTTTTAAAAGAATCAATCACGAGTAGTCGTTATAATTTTAATAGTAAACTCAATAAATAGATCAAGATATTGGAAAACATAAAGAATCATTAATCCTTGTAATTTTTAAAAGTGATGTTATTTCAATGTCTTGCAATGTGGTTTTATTATTAATTATTAGCAATTACTATCGAAGTAATTATTGAAATCACTTAAAATATTAAAAATTAAAAACTATAGAAAACTTTATTTCAAATGTGGACATTATTTTAATAGTGATTGCAACCTATGATGGTATTGAAATGCATTTTCCACCACTATTAAAATAATCATTTCAATAGTGGTCGTATTTCAGTATATAGTGGTTGCATACTATGTATGTTATTGAAATGCACTCTCAACCTCTATTAACATACTTATTTCAACAGTGGTCGTATTTCAATAGTGGTTACATACTATGTTTGTTATTGAAATGCACTCTCAACGACTATTGAAATAATTATTTCAATAGTGGTCGTTATTTCAATAGTGGTTGCAAGAAACGTGTCAGATAATTATGGAAATTCATCCACATTTCAGATTGTCCACTAGGACGATTTGGAATAAACTGTGAAAGATTCTGTAGTGAACATTGTGGAGTATCTAATATATGCAACGGAATAACAGGACAATGCGAAAGAGGATGTAAACCGGGCTGGAGGGGCTTTCAATGTAATGAAGGTAACCGTGTTTGACCCAAACTAAATTTATATAGCGATTTATGTTTCAATAAACATGTATTCTAAAGGCAGCTGAATTTGTTCTTTCATGTGTAAAATAAAATGAGTACCCTAATATTACACAGATATCGAACATATTGTGTTTATTTCAAAGAATGTGATGGTAAAAGGTATGGACAAGACTGTGGAGAGAAATGTGGAACCTGTCTGGGATATAAACAATGTAATCACATCAATGGTTCATGTACTGAAGGCTGCGATGCTGGATTTATGGGAGAGCTCTGTAAAACTAGTAATTACTTTTGGGATTCTTCAAAGACATTATCTTATCTGTATTTCAAAATCTCAATACCTTTAGCATGCTTGCTGTACGATAAAAGTAAATAACAATCTTTGCAAAAAAATTATGCTTAGCACAAATACAGTCACAAAATATATTGATAGGCTGTTTTGTTGGCACATTTGGAAATAATTGTGAGCAGAATTGTGATAAAAACTGTGGCGTACCATATCAATGTGACAGAACAACAGGAGAATGTGAGGGTGGATGTCAACCAGGCTGGGAAGGACCTCGATGTGGACAAGGTACAAAGATTTAGAGGATCAACCATCATGTCCAGTTTAATTTGATTGCCATTTCTATTCCATCCCCCTTAAAAATTCTTTAACATTCCTTCATTACAAGGATATATTAGAGAATGCAAGTACTTTTCTTTACATCATGAGTAATTTCAATTTCTATGTATCTATGTTTTGATTTATATTTATTTGTTTTTTCTCTTGCATACAATTAGCATGCACAGAAAACAGATATGGTCAAAACTGCAGCTTTGACTGTGGGTTTTGTCAGAGTTCTCCTTGCCATCATGTAAGTGGATCGTGTTCAGGGACTTGTTTGGAAGGCTATCAAGGAGCATTATGCAATGAGGGTAACCCTGTTTTTGTTGTTGCTTTGTTTAAGCCCCTCATCCCTTAAAAAATTATTTGTCTCGCATAGATTTAAAAAAAAAAGATATTGCACAAGTTTGCTTATATATATATTAGCAGAATGTCAATAGGATGCAAAAAAACAATAATTTCCTCCATGTTTTTCTTTACGTTTCCCCTTCATTTACAATAGTGTGTAATGAAGGCTATTATGGAAAGAATTGCAAAGAAAATTGCAGTCTTTTTTGCAAGACATCACGTGACTGTCACCATGTGACTGGACATTGTAAGGAAGGATGTATTGATGGATGGCAAGGTGTGAAATGTTTGCAAGGTAAATGGACTTGAATGTAGTGATGAAACATGTGTTCATGTGTGTGTACTTTTAGATTTAAATAGGTATGGATATCAAAATGCAGCAGCATTTGGTCTGTAATTTTTGAATTAACTGAGTATCTTTTTTTCTTTCACCGAAAGTTTGTAATTCTTATTTATTTCCGAGTGTGTAACGGTAAAAGGTTTGGAGAGGACTGTGGAGAGAAATGTGGAACCTGTCTGGGATATAAACAATGTAATCACATCAATGGTTCATGTACTGAAGGCTGCGACGCTGGATTTACTGGAGAGTTCTGTAAAACTAGTAATTTCCTTTTTGATTCTCCACAAACATTTTTTATCTGTATTTCAACATATCAATACCTTTAGCATGATTGCTGTACGATGTAGGTGAATAATAATATTTGCAAAAAATATATTTAGCATAAATACACGACATAAATTGATAGGTTGTTCTGTTGGTACATTTGGAAATAATTGTGAGCAGAATTGTAATAAAAACTGTGGCGTGCCATATCAATGTGACAGAACAACAGGAGAATGTGAGGGTGGATGTCAACCAGGCTGGGAGGGACCTCAATGTGAACAAAGTACAAAGATTGAGAGGATCAACCATCTTTTCCAGTTTAATATGATTGCCATTTCTACCCCTTTCCCCATTTAGTTTCTTTAACATTCCTTGTAAATAAAAGTACTCTACATTCCTAATTAAACGCAAGGAATTAATTACAGCGTAATTTTGCGAGAAGCATCATCCATTTCTATCCCATCCTTCAAAAAATGCTTTAACATTCCTTTATTAATATATTATGAGAGTGTCAAAGAAAATGTCAGAGTTTTTTTTACGTTATGAGTAA